AAAGAGCAGTATCTAATGTCCCTCCACTTCAGCACCTTACTGTTTGGGCCACAGCAGGAAGTTGCTGGGCGAGCAGGCTGAAACGGTGGCAAGGAGGAGCAATTCCAGCAGGTCTTGCCAGTGGGGCCCTGTTGAGGTGGCGCCCTTGGTAGCTGCTCACCTGTAGCTACCTTGGAGTCGGCTCCACCAGGGATCCTTTCAACTGGACATGCCAAGGGCAAAGCGAGAGACTGCACGCATCCAGAGTTTCATTGCACCCCACAGCTTATAAGGCCTTCTCCCGTCCCAGATGCAGGGCTCCTGACTATAAATTAAAACAAAGGAAGGATGTCACCTCAATTGAGCAGTTCACCATCACTTCCAGTTCGGTGCTAAAACTGACTTAAATGGAGAGTGGAAAGAGGGAAGGAAGCAAATAAATGAAGCATTCAAGCCACACTGATGAATTACTTATACCTTGTAGGGAAAAGGAAAGACATGGAGAACATGTACAAATACACAGAAAAGAAATGCTTCCCATATCCAGTTGATACTGAAAGGGTACTGTCACATGTTATATAGGCACATTTATAACACAAAACACACAAGAACCGGAAAGGATCTCTTAAGGGTCATTGGATCATGGCCTGCACTACACCTTCGCTGCCATACTGGCTTGGCGGTTACGCACACATGTCCTACACAGCCATCTCACCCTCCCACCTGCAAAAAAGCTTCAGTGTTAATCACTTGCTGCTTTGTATACCACTCAGTGGTGAGAACTGAGGACACCCTATGTTCAAATCCCTCCTTGACCTAAGAAGCTCACTGTGGCATCATCCTTCTAGTCAAGTTCTTCATAACTCAGGCTCATTCGGGCTGAGTTAAGACATTCGCCCTCCTTAAGGACTGCAAGGTTTTGGCAGGATTATTCCACCCTGGCCATTCCAGAGCAACTGTTTTCAACCATTTTCCAGGAGGAGATGAGGTTCTGGCTCTGGAACCCACCCTCTATTACAAGATGAAGATAATCATGTCTATTAATATACCACTAGGAACCTACCTTCGTGAGCCTACTGAATATAGGATGACTAAGTCTGGGTCCAACCATTCTTAATGCACACTGTAGATGATCCTCCAGTTGTGAAGCTTATCTGCATTGCCTGCGTTAAGGATTTTCTGGTCTATATTAGTAGGGACAAAGGAAAAGGAAATTCGAAAACATGGCATGCAAGGTCTCTGAGTGTGTCTGCAGGATGTGACCCAGCACTTCTTCATCATTCATGTCAGTTAAACAGGCAGGATGAATGGAGGAGACAGAATCCTTTGTCCAGGTGGATAATCTATCACTATCCCAGCATTCCACAGTGGGCGAACGTCTTTCACACTGGACTTCCTCTGCGGCAGAACCCCCCGTGCCAGTTGTGCGCATCCTACGCACAACTACATGAAACTGCTGGGGGGGGGACGTCCAGCGGTTTGGGCTGGTATGTCAGCAATACGCTGTACACACTCAGCTGTACCTCTCTGACAGAGCCCTGTCCGGTTATTCAGTAACCCATTAGATTACATAAATAGACAGACAGACAGTCAGGTTTATGAAAGGGTAGGTTCTAACTTCATGCAAAATGGGTAGATGAGAAAGCGCTGGCAGGTGGACATATGTTTGCTGAGGTTTTTTCTGTTGCTGAAGACAAGGACTGACTTCTTTTCTCCCCTCACAGAGATAAGTGTGTCCACAGAGAATGATCATAGCGACGAGAAGGAGGAGGAGCTGGAGCATTTGTGGATCACCATCTTTGTTTTCTTTGTTCTTTTCCTCCTGAGTGTGTGCTATAGTGCCACCATGACGCTGTTCAAAGTAAGGGCCCGGGAAGTGGGATTACGTGCCTACGTTTGCTTCTGACCTTTGGAGGGAGGGAAGGGATTGGTAAAAACCCTTTGGGGACTGTCAGAGCGAACAGATAGAATGGAAGGTGGGGCTGTGAATGGGCNTGTGATTCTCAAGAGTGGCGATGTGGTCACAGCCCTGGTGAAAGCGGCTTAATGTTTTCTGGAATATCCCTCCCTTCTTTCACCCCCTCTTCTACCCCACCTTGTATAATACTGTACAGCTCCGAGTTCTAAGATAATATGCAATAACCACTGAGCGCACCAGCTTCTCCAGTTGTATCCTTCAGGGAACATGGTGCAGCATCAGGGCAGGCAGAGGAGAGGCAGATGCTGCGGTCCATGGGAATTCTGTCTCTCTTCAGGCTCCCGTCTCTCATTCATAGCCTACAGAGTCCGCATCTTGTGCTGGGCCAGTGGGCTAAACCCTGGAGTCAGCGGCACTAGCACCACCCGGGGACCCAACAGTCTCCCCACCTGAGCTGGCAGGGGCTGCTCTCAGTTGCAGCTTGGGGCCCCAGGCTGTTGCTCCTGGGGAACATTAACAGCCATGCTAAGGGCATCCTGTCTCGGGTCATTCGGTCTTTCATGGGGCCCATGCCAACCATGCACTGCCAGGGCATGCCATCTGTCCTCTCACTCTAGATTTGCTTTGGATTGGATTGTTTGTTTGGATTGGATTGTTTGTTTCTTTGCTTGTTTATCTGAGTGGCCGACGGGCTAAGATTATCTGCTTAATAAATGCATGATACAGCATTGCTTTTGTGAGGTGAATGCAGAGATACGGTGGAACACTGTCGTGCTGGGAAGAGATCCTGTGCATTGGAAGCGCTTTCAAGAAAAGAGGAATAATTGCAGGGGGATAGTGATCTGAAGGTGGGGGGGCTTCTGCTTACCCCCTTTGTCATGATCAGATCACAACCTCCAGAAATTCAGCCTAGAAGCAATGTTTCCCCTCTGCAAGGGTGACTGCAATCTTAAAATAATTCACCTCTTGAGGCTGATGGATAAAAATGTTTCCACTGGGCCCTCTGGTATTTCAGGGATGATAGGGCTCTGCAGAATCCCCAGCCAAGCTCTGGAATGCACGGTTGACTTGGGAAATTAGCATAATAGCTCCTGAGCTCCCTCTTTCTCATAGAGCATTTATGGCTTTATGGGATCCTCCAGAGCTGAAAGCAGTGAAACAAAGGAGGGAATGGCTTGACCTCAGATTGGGGAGAACTCCTAACAGATGCAATCCAACCCTGATATGTGCCTATAGCGAGGCATGTCCGGGGGCAGAGAAAGCAGCAAGGAAACAACCCCACTGTGTCCAGGTTTCCCTTTGCTCCCTCAATAAGCTCTTTCAGACCATCCATGGCCGACTCCATGCTGCCCCTAGGACAACTTGCACACATCTGAGCCCTTTTGGCTGGGCACTGCCAGGAGAAAACCTCCTGCCTCTGCCGGGACTTAAACTCCATTGCAACAGCAGGGCAATCAGATGAGGCGCCCACACCCTGGTCACGTTTTGGGAGGTGAGTTTCAGTGGCTACAGCTCAAGAACATTGTACAGCTACATCCATACTCAAAACTTGCCCTTGCCCAGCTACATTTCTTTCTGGATAGGGATGGTCTGGCATCTGCCAAAGCTCTGGTAATCTCTA